TGTCAAAGCAACCATTTTTGAGCTGAGCTGCAAAAATGGAGACAACGCCNCTTGAATACATGATAACAAACTCTGATAACAAACATCCAGAGGAGGTATGACACGGTTGACCTTTGATTAATAATTGCAAAGTTCAATTGCATTCCATTGGTATCATGTGATGCAAAATGGCCACTAGTACCTCTTCTAGCAGTAATTTAAAGCATTAGAAAAGACCCAATGAGAATTTTATTGCTTCACTACAAACTATGATGATTGCAGTTATTTTTAAAATCTTAAACTAGTGAAGATCTATTTATCTGATGAAGCAAAGAACAGGATCAAATTTAAGATGCCTTGTCTCTTTCTCCTTCTTATATTCATGTCTATAAACAAAAAAGAAATATTCTCCATGAGCTAGTGATTCTCACAACTGTCAAGGATTGTCATAAATCATTATAGTTTCTGCAGTATAGGCCTGCTTTGTGATACAGTCATCAGAAAGCTGCCATTTTGCATCACATGATACCAATGGAATGCAATTGAACTTTGCAATTATTAATCAAAGGTCAACCGTGTCATACCTCCTCTGGATGTTTGTTATCAGAGTTTGTTATCATGTATTCAAGGGCGTTGTCTCCATTTTTGCAGCTCAGCTCAAAAATGGTTGCTTTGACATTAATTTTGCTGTATTTTGCGACTGGCTTTGGACAATGCCAGCCTTGCTTCAATGGCTCCATTCAGCTTGTGGTAAGTTGTAAATCTTGTTATCTTGTCTGATTTGTATTCTAGTCTAGTGCCAGTGGTAATTCGTATGGTGCCGTAGAAGTTTGTATTGGTGGAGAGTGGGGTAGTATTTGCGGTGATTATTGGGATAACAGTGATGCCAGTGTTGTATGCAGGCAACTAGGATACTCTCCTTATGGTATATTTTATCTGGCACACTCATTATATCCTTGTATTTTACTTCATAGGTGCAATAGCTTCTTCCAAAACACACATCAGCTCTAATGCATCATCACATCATATCACTGATTTGAATTGTGCTGGAGATGAAGTTCATGTACTTAATTGTACTCGTAACAGTTTGAATAACTACACATGTCCTCTCAGTAGAGATGCTATTGTGTTTTGTCAGTGTAAGTCCATGGTTTTGATATTGTGAAAATGGCATGCATGATGAACTGTAATGACAGATCGTATAATGCTGCTTTAATTTGGTGGGGTTTTATTTTTTGGCAATTGGTGGTTTGCAAGCGGAATTGCCAATATTAATACGCATGCTCAGTAATGCACGTGTACACAAAAATTGCCAAATTAAAAACCTCCAATTACAATTTTACAGCACAATAGCCAAAATAAAGTGCCGCATTATACAGTATGTTTTTTGTTATAGTGTTGGAGTCTGTGACGCATAGTAATTGCAGCGATGGAGATGTTCGTTTAATTGGTGGTGCAACAGAGTATGAAGGGAGAGTTAATTGTGTGTGAACAAAGCTTGGGGAACAATTTGTGCTTACAATGGCTGGACATCTGTTGTAGCTAAGATTGTTTGCACTCAAATTGGAGCTTTACCAGCTGGTGAGAACTATTTTACACTCCTTTGATCATTACATTTTATTTACTTCATTAAAGGATACAATCAAGGTCGTGTTGGTAGCCTTGGATTTTCTATTGGTAATGGTGCTATTCTGTTAGGATATCTATCTTGTATGGGAGATGAGACCAACCTTTTAAACTGTAATCCAAACTATTATCAAACTAATGTAGTCTCTTACTGCCAAACTCACTACTATGATGCTGGTGTTACATGTGAACGTAAGGCTTGAAAGATTTTGTATATAGTACATTTCTTATAATTTTTTCAGCACCATGTGAAAATGGCACTATTAGGCTGAGTGATGGAAGTAATACATATGGTAGAGTTGAGGTGTGCATTAGTGAATCCTGGAGAACCGTGTGTGGTAGTCATTGGAATTATAAAAGCTCTTCTGTTGTGTGTAGACAGCTAGGATTCTCACCATATGGTACTTTAGGGACATAATTATATGCTTAAATTTTATTTGTGTTATAGGTGCCACACCTCTCAAGAACTACTATAGCAACTATCTTTGGTCACATGGAATTATACATGTAAATTGTAGTAGCTTTGAGGACAGCTTATTGAACTGCTCTTATGTTGAAGTTATTAATTCTACCTTTAATTGCTCAGATAATTATGATGCTGGAGTTATATGTCAAAGTAAAATTAAAATGCTATTTATTCCTTATTCATTACCAATTTTAGCTAAAGCTTTTCAGGCTGTTGACTGTGTGACTGGAGATATTCGATTAATTGGTGGAACCGTAGCAAATGAAGGAAGATTGGAAGTGTGTTTAAACAGAGTATGGGGTACAGTCTGTGGTTTATCTTGGGGTAGTGCTAATAGCAAGGTTGTTTGTAGGCAATTAGGACACCAAGAGTTAGGTATGATGCTTATTGTTAGCATGTAGACATTGTATTTTTTATTAAGGCCCTTCAAATTATGGATATCGATTATATGGTCAGGGAAGTGGACCTGTTGTTTATGGTTTTGTATCATGCAATGGAACTGAACAGTCATTATCAGACTGTAGTAGAAATGTTTCATCAGTTGCAGTAGGACTCTGCACTAGTCATTTTTATGACATAGGATTAACATGTGAACGTGAGAAAATTATTTTTGTAGATAATATTCTGCTTACTTTTTTATTCATGTAGCTCGTTGTGCAAATGGAATCATTCGTCTACAAGAAGGCACTTTAACTTCTAATGGTAGAGTTGAAGTTTGTTTTAATGGAACATGGGGTACTATCTGTAGTGATTTCTGGAACAATAATGATGCAAGTATTGTGTGCAAGCAGTTAGGATACTCCCCTTATGGTACATTGTTTTTATTTTCTAATCAGTTGTTTTAAATTTCAAAATGTGAATATCTTTAAAATTATTGGGTTTAGTCAAATGAATAATGTTTCTTTAATCTGTACACAGGTGCAATTGCATCATCTGGTCTCTACAGTGATTTCATCTGGCCTCATCATATAATTGACCTCAATTGTACTGGTACTGAAAGTAGTATATGGAACTGTCCTCATAATGGACTCAGCCATTACTCTTGTAGTAACAGTCATGATGCGTTAGTAGCTTGTCAAAGTACTACCGTAATTATATATGAGAAAGTGTCAGTATTTTCGTCCATTTAGGTATTAATACACCAAGAGCTGATTGCATTGATGGTGAAGTGAGATTGGTCAATGGTGCAACAGAATATGAGGGTCGTGTAGAAATATGCCTTAATAGAGCTTGGGGTACTGTGTGCAGCAATAGATATGGGTCATGGTGGAGATACTCTTATTCATGGAGCACCCTTAACACTAACACTGTATGCACACATGTTGGACACATGAAGATTGGTATGTTGTATCAAATTACAATGAGTTCCTATACTGTAGTTGACTTGATTAGGCTCAACTTATAGTCAGTTTGGGCAAGGATCTGGACCTATACTGTTGTCGTCAGTTCATTGCAGTGGGCAGAATTCTCATTTACTGGACTGCTCTTATTCAGTATTTATTCCATCATATTGCTCACATTCAGCTGATGTTGGCATAATATGTGAAGGTACAGTGTATATTTTGTTACAGTTGTTTATTATTTGTAGCTTTATGTGAGAATGGCACTGTTCGTATGTACAGTAGTTCAGGTAGTTACTTCAGGAGATATGGTAGAGTTCAAGTGTGTGTTAACAATGTGTGGGGCACAATTTGTGATGACTACTGGGATGATAATGATGCTGCTGTAGTCTGTAGAATGTTGGGATACTCATCAAATGGTATAAAAGCTGTTATGGCATAAACTTAACTATTGTTTTTTAAAAGGTTACTCGGCATTAAAAAACACCTTAACAGAAGGGACATGGTATGTACATATAAATGATCTTAATTGTACTGGCAATGAATTGTCTCTCTGGGACTGTCCTATGAATCAAATAACTGGATATTCTTGTGATCATCGTGATGATTCTGCTATAATTTGTCAATGTAAGTGTAATATAGATAGACAACAAGTTTGTACATGTATCTTACGTAGTGCCTGATTTGATTTACTCTAATTGTACTAATAATGATGTGAGATTAATGAATGGAAAGACTGAGTATGAAGGAAGGCTTGAAGTATGTATAAATGGAGTCTGGGGTTCAATTTGTGATAAAAGTTGGAGTTCGTATAGTGCATATACTGTATGTCAGCAGTTAGGATTTCAAGGTAAAAAATGCATAGCAAATGCAATGTATTTGTAGTTGGTGTTAGGTGGCAAAGCTCTTTCCAATTCTTATTTTGGAGTTAGTTCTAATCGTATTCTTATCTACAGATTGATAAGCAATTCAATTTATTCTAATATATCTTACTGCAATCAAATTAAGACTCCTCTAACCATTTGTAGCAACTTTCATGAAGCTGGAGTGAGATGTGAAGGTAAATTTGTACTAAGTTTATTAAACTGTGACTATGTTTTAATAGAATTTTGTCCCCATGGTAAAGTGGAACTTTATGGTGGTCCTTCCAGTCAGCACGGTATTGTACGAGTTTGTGCTGATGGAAAATGGGTTAAGCTGTGTGCATTTGGCAGCACTGTGCTTAATAATGACTTGGCTACCGTAATTTGTACAAGCCTTGGTTTTTCTTCTTATGGTTAGAATACTACATGATAATTTATAAGATGACTTCAAAAATTTTAGGTGCCAAAGTTGTAACAAATATTTGGGGAGACAATTATCATTATCCTTACCTGTTTCATAATATGCATTGCATTGGAAATGAAACCAGCTTGTTTGATTGTCACTACGATGTGACTGGAACATGCTCTTTTAGTTGGACAGTGTCTGCCTTTTGTCAAAGAGGTAAAGTAGCCACTTAATTTGTAAACAAATCTAGTTTGTATTCTAGCCAACATCAATCCAGCTAATTGTACTGATGGTGATGTTAGACTGTATGGTGGTCCAGTGCCTAATCATGGAACACTTCATGTGTGTGCCAATGGTGCCTGGGGGACAGTGTGTAAGAATGGCCACTGGACTGATGTAGAAACTGATGTTGTCTGTTTTCAATTGGGATACTATAATCGTTGTAAGACATAATTATTGTTAATTTCACTCCGTAATTTTCTTTTCAATTGTGATAATAGTAAATACGTATGCTGGGAAAAAAACAACAGATAACTATCCAATTATATTTGCTGAATTTAACTGTTATAGAAGCGCAATAGATCTGCTATCATGTGGCTCTGGACTAAGTCGAAACTTACAGTACTGCACTAACAATGCAGTTGAAATTAAATGTGAAAGTTAGTTGTAATCTGTCCTGTGTATATGGCACATTTACATCACACTGCATGTGTTAATCCATTTTAACTAATAGAAAAGTGTAGATCTGGCAGCATTCAGCTCGTTGGTCGTTACTACTACGGTCGTGTTGAACTTTGTGTTGAAGGAAGGTGGGGAGCTGTTTGTGGTGATGATTTCTGGGATAATGTTGATGCTAGTGTTGTCTGTAGAGAGCTAGGATTTTCACCATATGGTACAATGGTATTTTAAAAGCTTTTATTTAGACTTGACAATAGGTGCATCAGCTTTCACTGGATATTGGAATTATAGAAGGGAAAGATACATATCTTTGATTGGATTAAATTGCAGTGGAACTGAAAACCATATTGAAGACTGCCCAGTTAACAGTTACTCATCACATTGTCCTGTTGGAGCTGATGCTAAAGTGTTGTGCCCCG